GATGTGTTTCTCTTTCATAACACTAGAACTTGGGGTCATTCCATGAATCTGGTTGGTGGATGATATAATGCATTCAGCATGGGACATTTCATAGTTCATATGTACCTACTGACTTACAGATTAAATGTGCATATGTATATAAATTGTAAATGAAAGCATCATACATAAGAATATTTTCTGGTCATCATACAATATACAAAATGCTATCCTCCCCCACACCTTCTGATAAATAAAAAAAATCCATTTGCTCTTTTTTTTCTCTAGCAATTAGAACGGAGCCTGGCTAATGAGATGTAGCAGTTAGCTGTGCAGTTAATTAAAAAGTTTACCTGAAGCAATTATTAGATGAGCATCTCTTTTCCCCTGGGAGGAAGAGTTATGTCACTTTCTCTAATTGCTACAAGCATACTCTGAAGGCCTAATTAAAGCTTTGTAACTCTAAGGCCTCACTGATGAGGGAACAAAGCCACCTGGCACCAAACCTTCGAGATGAGATCTTCTTAGGAGTCCCTGAGGTGTAGCACAAGTTGTGTGGCAGGCAGGAGAGGGCAAGAGGGACAGCATTTCTTCTGATGGAATTTCAATATACAACTCAGATGCCCAAGGCCTAGTATTGTATTGTGAATTAGCCAGGAAGCCTTTCGGATTTACACCAACCATTCAAGGGATACATCCCAGTGCATTCTCATAGTGACAGAATTTCATTTCAGTTTGTTTCTTATTGGAATTTACCAAAAGTCTTCATATTTGGAGCAGAAACAATTTGAGGTTTGCAAATTCAAATGTCCACTCTTAATCTCCACAGCAGTAGCAACATATTAGCTCCTTTCATTCGTTTCTCACATGGTGAGGCAAAAGAAAGGGGCTGTACCTCTTGCAACATCCCAATAACAGCTCCCTCTGCTCAGCCACATAGTCTACACTTTGCTGGGGACATCTGACAGTAATGGCAGATCCTCCAGATCAATAAATAGGCAGCAACATGGCAGCTCTCTCTAACTGACCTATGGTTGAACCTCAGCACATCTATGGGTTGGATCCAATGTGACTTTATTCATGATTGATTCCCTCATTGACTTCAGTGGGATCCAATTGCAACTCTTTTAGTCTGGACTAACATGACCTGAAGCAAATCTGGCTTCTAACGTACAAATAAATATGACTAGATTGAGAGGAAACCACTGCATTTTTATTTATTTACTTTACTTTACTTTAATTTCCATATAGTCCAATAGCCAAAGCTCTCTGGGCAGTTTTCAACACTTCATAGAACAAACAATACAATAAAACAGTATTTCCCCCCAAAACTACAAGTAAATAAATAAGTGATTCCACTCTTCATCCTACATTAATTCGTTCTTGTCACATGAAAGACAAGAACAACATTTAACACCAAATCATAGTGAAAAGTTCAACTTGTAGCAATTTGCAAGTGCTTACTACAGCAAGTCCTAAACATGATTGGTCTTTAAATCTAGTCCTGTTCAGTTTAAACCACTAAACTTAACAGTGTGCACTAAGTCTGCCTGAGACTGTGGAAACACAGAGGTTGTCAAGCATCTTTCGGCATACAGTACATGAATGGTAGTGCTTATTAATTTAATTCTTCATACTACCTACTTCCTGACTTATGACTCACACTAGGCTACAACATGCAGCAGTCCCATTCTCTTTGGCCCTGGTGGATCTCCAATCTTCTCTTCTCTTCTCATTCAGCATTATATACATATAATAAATCAATACTATTTATGCAAATATTATTTAAATAACACCACATATCATATATTCAATGTTTATTTATTCAAATTATTGCCTTACTTATTTTTTAAGTTGTGCTATCATCAGCCAGAAGGATTCAGTCTTGTATATGCAGGAAAGCTGGAGTTCTGACTAAGATGAAAATCCACAATCTGCTAGCTTCTTCTCTTACCTGCAATGAGTCCACACTGTGTAGATTTAATACATGAATAGGTTTATTTAATGCATTTTCATTTTCTCACCAGGCATGTGTATGTGCAAGAATATGCATGTTAGCGATCCTTCTAGCAGCAGCCCCTCCCCTCTCATGTTGCTTCTCCAGACCATACCACAATGGCGTTCGTGGTGGGGCTTGTGGTAAATATAAAAGGATGTTAGTAGAAGTGGAAAACTGGAGAAAAATGTGGCAAATGGCTCATGCAGGCAATCCACTTTGCATCCCCACTATTTATTTTAAATGAAACAACAAAATCATAAACGGATGCTTAGGGAAGAAACCATGGGTCCACAAAACTTGAGTTCACTGAAGTTCTCCAAATTTCATCTCAAAGTTCATTTGGACTTGAGTCCATTATCAGATAGAGGTTTGTTCGTCTGTTTGGTTGTTTGTGTGCATGTGTTTCTTCATATCTCAGATGTATGCAGCAAATAATACTGAGAGGCTGTACCCTAACCAAAGTTAAAATTCAATAAATACTCAAAGTTCAAGATGCACTGAACTTGGGACTGAATAAATTCACTATCATTCAAATTAATTTAAGATTTGAAAACTGTGAAACTGAAATTGTCAGATTTCTCTATCCTTACATTAGTTACTTAAGCACTAGCAGTATAAGGCCAAATAGGGTGAATAAAGATTGAATAAAATAGAATTGCATAAATAAGCATAAAAATATTTCTTCTGACAATTGCAGGCTGAATCCTGGAATGGGTTGTAATCCTGGAATCCTTGTTGTAAGCCATCCAGAGTCATGTAGTGATTGGATGTGTTAGAAATACCCCAAATAAACAAAATTTTTAAAAAAATGGGGAGAGGGGCAAATCATGTAGATCAAAAAGGGTTGTAATAATTGTTTGAATTCTACCCTAATGTCAAGAATGTCATAGGATGACTGAAGGGACGAAGGGACTATTACTATCAGGGACATACATTCCTCAAAGTATGATAGTCTTTAAAACCTTTTTTTTTTTTTTTTTTACATTTCTTGAAATGTTTCATCTGACTTTCATTGATGAGAAATGTTCATATTTTCTTTGGAATTTCGTTTTAGGCATTATGCAATGATAATGTATTGAATTATATTATATTGTACTACTCTTTGCTAATCATTCTTTGGCTTCCGTTAACATGCAAGGGAACACTGAGTCTGAAAAGAAACCAGTAAGGATTAAAATTTCACTTCTGTGTCAACTATTCTATATGCCTGAATGCATTGGATACAAATTCTCTCAGTAGGCTGTGGCTTTGTGCCCCCTGGTGACATTCTAAAGAAACAGCAAGCATCCGTGCCTTTATATCACTCCCTACAGTGCAATTCTGAATCCTGCAGAGAAAAGCTAGTGATTTTTATATGTTGTCCTCTGCTACCCTCTTGTGTCCATTATGTACAATAGCTGGTTGATTATTAATTCAAATCTGTTTGGTGTGCAATCCTGTTTAGAAATCGGTAAGTGTTTGGGCTTAGAATTAGGTCCATTTCATTTCTGACATAAATAATATAATAGTCAAATGTTTTTTTAAGCATTTTTTTTAATTTAAAGCATTTTTATGCCGCCCCCTTTGCAACAAGCCTTGGGCTTGAAATAGGGAAATAAATGTTGATATTTATTTATTTAAAAAAGATGTGTATTTTTAAATGTGAGAAATGAGGGAATTACAAGATTCTAAAGATGCTGGATTGCTTGCCAAAGCACCACATTTGTCAAAGCGATTGTACATACATGCAGACCTAGTTACAGGAACTCCAGTAACTGATACATTTGTCAATCCAGTTAAAATGTTTAGATTTGGTTCATTAGAGTGCAATCCTATGGCCTCCTGGCATTCCCTGTGGAACCAGGAGATCCTTCAGAGCCCCATCTTCAAGGTCCTACAAACCTAAATCTGGACTTGGAAGGCTGGGCCCACACACTACTGCCCACATGGCCAGCATGGAGAGAACTATGCCTGCTGCTTTTCTGAGGGTGTGACTGGACCTCAGAAGATGGTAAGCAGAGACAGGGGTCGGGAGGAGAATTGGGACTGATGGCTTATGCAATTTCTTATTGGGATCCTACACACTACATAGCCATATAATCACATATATTAGCATGTGATTATGAATGGCATCTAGCGGGAGGTAGCTGAATTTAATAAGGAAGAGTCTTGCTTTGCTATAAGTTTTCATATGTTGTAACATGGCAGATGCATCAGTGATGTACCCACAGAGGGAATTCAGAAAGGAAGTTCACTGTGAAGGGCATAATAATCCCATGCATGGCTAGGAAGGATACAAACCCTAAAACAGAACCTTTGCTGTCTTCCGGAATTTAATGTGTTCAACTTTGGGAGTAGCATTCTTTAAGGAACTCAGTTGAAGGTGAGGTGAATGTTGAAGGCAAATCAGGATCTATAATATCTATAATGTGAGTATCTTCTCCAAACCACACATATGGAGGGGCACAGAAAGTTAGATCCAGAATTAGTCAAATGTTAAATAAACCTATTTAATGTGAAGTCATGGTTAAACCCCATATATTTCTGAGTATACTCTAAACATGGATAAACAACCTGCGTAAAACTTTCACAAATGATTATCTATGTTTTATTTTAGGACATATGTGTTTTTGTGTGTGTGTGCATGCACATATATTGGGCTTAACGTACACATGCACACTTTACTATATCAATATTATTTTGATATTATTTCTTCTCTATACAATCTGGATTTTAATAGTGTCATATGTGAGAATTCTTGCTCATAAAACTTGAAGTACCCACACATATGAGCATTGATATATGTATTTACAGCTATAGTTTTTGTTTTTATTATGTATAAATTTCCTGAACAAACAGGTGAGATACACCCAAACCCTTACAAGAAGTACCATACCTGCATTTTTTGTGTTATAGTCTGACATCCCTCCATGCCCCACCTTGGTTACATGTATCTTCTTCTTCTACATTTTAAGGGCTAGATGAATTGGACAGTTTTATCTAGCAAGGAAGTGTGGGAAATTAAGGAATAGGTGCAGGTAGAAAATTATAGAATCATAAGTTGAATTGTAGGGAGTGCCAGCTTTTTGATCATTTTTTTCAGGGCCCCTTTTAATTCTTTGTTCCTTAGACTGTAAATGATGAGATTTATCAATGGAGGCACCACAGAGTAAAGGACAGCAGCTGCAATGTCTCGACCAAGTGAGGATGCTGACCTTGGCCTTGTATATGTAAAGGCTCCAGTGCCCAGAAATAAGCAGAGAATGACCAGGTGTGGAAGGCAGGTTGAGAAAGCTTTGGATCTTCCATAGACAGAAGGGATCTTTATCACAGTGGAGAAGATATAAGCATATGAAACAAATATTATAGAAAAGCATACAGAAGCTAATAAATAACCCAGGACAAACATCAAGATATCATTAGTATGTGTGTCTGAACAGGAGATTTTTAACAGCTGTGGGACATCACAGAAAAACTGATCAATTTGATGGGATTGACAAAAGGATAACCTGAAAGTATTAGCCATATGTACAACGGAATAGAGCATGCTACCAATCCAGCAACCAACCGCCATTTCACTACATACACTCCAGTTCATGATCACCCTGTAATGCAAGGGGTAGCAGACTTCAGCATAGCAATCATAAGCCATTGCTGTGAGTAAGAATAATTCTGCATCTGCAAAAGTGACGACCAAATAGACCTGGGCCACACATCCTGAGAAAGATATCCATCTGGAATTGATCAAGGCATTTACCATGGATTTGGGAATGGTGACAGAGATGTAGGAGATATCAAGAAAGGAAAGGTTTGCAAGGAAGAAATACATAGGAGAAGGAAGCTTGAGATCAAGAGACACAGTTGTAATGATGAGAAGTTTTCCTATCAGTGTTGCCAAGTAAATGAGAAGGAAAGTGGAAAAATGCAGTAGCTGTAACTCCCACATGGTAGAAAATTCCAGAAATAGAAACTCACCCCCAGAGGTTTGATTTAACATTTTCTGCTGCTACTCTGTTAAAAACAAAGAAACACACAAATACAAATATAGCTGATCATAGAATAGAGAAACAGGAAAACAAAGTGGTAACATCAGAACAAGCTTTTGCTAATCTTCCATTATAATTACATGGCGGAAACTGAAAATGTATTTGCTTGTATTCTGTTTTTAATATGCATAGTACACATCATCTGAATAACTTTGCACATTGTTCAGCTGAAGAGTGTTACAAATAAAGAAATAAATTTCTAATTTTAACTGATCTTCTATTAGTTTAATCCTATTGGCTATTCTGGCTTTTACAACTAGTCAGGAACACTGACCGCTTAATAATTAGTTGATCACCCTACCTATATTTTCTAAATAAAGGATATCCTACTTCAGATTCTACCCCCACCCAAATTAAGGATGGTTTATATTATGAAATAAATCTATATAACTTATTTAAACATTTCTTTGCACATGTAAAGTACTTAGCATTTCCTTTAAATTGTGACAAACTACTACAAATGAGAAAAATATGATGACCCAGGAAAGGGGAGGAAGCTCCTCCCTACTGCAATATATTTTTGCCTTTCATATGCATGGAGATGTTCATACAGTGATGTGTCCAGAGCTGTGGCTGATGGACATAAATGTGTATCAATGCTCATCTGAAAGAATGCATGAAATGCCAGTTTTCAAGACAGAGTGGAATTCAGTAGATGCTGGATCTGGAATAGCCATGACTTTAAATAGTATAGAGGATATACCACATGATGGTAAAACATCATAGTCTTTAATAAGGCTTCTGTATTATATTTCCCATAGGAAATCCAGCTACTGGGCTAATATGAAAAAAGGTCCTTATTAGCATCAATAGCACTTTATTCCCAAAGGCATGATGAATATGGCAAGACCTAGAAAAAGGCACTAGCAAGCAGTGTTTAGAAGAGAAAGACTTGAAGTCCCATTTTAATTGTTGCTAGTATTGTGTTGTATCCAATATTAGTATGACTTAGATTGAACATAACTCCACTGAAATTCATGGGAGTTAAGTTAGACTAATATACAACCTAGATTTGGCTTAGCCAGACATGAAATATGTAACTATAAGGAAAACATTGCAAACCAAAGCCCCAAGTGACAGATATATAGTGAAGTAAAATGTTCAAATAAAATGCTCAAGGAATTCGGCATTTATATAGTCCAATGAAAACTGACCTGATCTGCATCTCCTGGACAAGAACTATCCTTCGGATCACACTTTTCATGAATGCTCTGATGCATTCTCAACTAAAAATTGAATCAGATTGAATCTGAAACAGTGGGTGTTGATATTTATTTTATTTATGTATTACATGTCTACCCAATAGCTAACAGAGATTTCAGGGCACTGTCAATTTAAAACATACACATTATAATAAAAATCAGCAATTAAAAAGAACAATAAGAATTACTAAAAGCAGTAAAACCCAACAATAAATAACTACAACTGTGTGTCAATTAACCTCAGATACAGTAGCAAAGATAAAACAATAGATATATGAATGTGTGTATTAAAATATATATTTCAATATATCTTCCATGCAGAATTCTTCTTCCTCTTCCTCTTCTCACAAATGCAGAAGAAGGGCAGTGGCCACATATGAACAAAACGTGGGCCAGAAATAGACAGATAATTACATTTCTGCCTAAAATCTACTGTGTGGTTTGCATATCTTTGCACGTGGAATCATAAACTTGGCTATCACAGGCTTATGGAATGCTTATTCTGAAGTAAGTGCCTCTGGGTGGTTTGTGACATCACAAGCCATGGTAGTTTCTCTCACAGGATGGTCAGTTGTGTTGTCCAAACCTCATCATGGTATTTTGCTTTGTAGAAACCACAGTAAAAAGCAACAGTGGGCAGGTTCAAGTCACCATGGTTTCTCGTTCAGGATGGTCTGTCATATCATCTGAACCCTGTCATGTTATTGCAGCATGTTATGTTTGGTTTATAGAGACTGCAATAAGAAACAATAATCTGTTCTATGCTTTTGATGTTTTACCATGGTATTTCTGACCATCTGAATCTGGCATCATGGTTTCCATAGTGCTCCCACAAAGACCCTTGAAAGGACTGGGTCCTGTTGTAAAAACTGCTCCAGTCATCATGCATAGGACTACACTTCAGGTGTAGTGGCTGATGGGATGTGTCCCAGTGCAGCAGCACTGACCAAAGAGGGTGGAAACCACATTGGAACCAGGATACCTAAAGGAATGCCTTTTTCCCTATTTGCCCTCCCGCCACCTGAGATCGCCAACAGAAGCCCTCCGCTGGGAACCCTCTGTGAAAGATGTTAGGAGACAGAGTACCCGGAAGACGTCCTTCTCTGCAGTGGCACCCCAACTATGGAATGCGTTCCCCAGAGAGGTCTGCCTGGTGCCGTCATTATGGTGCCAGGTTAAGACTTTTTTATTTAATTAATATTTTAATAAGTTTTAATATTGAATTTTATTATTGCAGGGAGGATTGCATCAGAAAAATATGAAAGGAACAACAGGGAAGTGTTCTGATTTCCAGGGAAAACCAAGACACTCAAAAAGAAATTCTCTTAATAATGAACTATCCCTCTCCAATCTTAAAGCTTTAAGATTCCAAAGCAAATAAACAATACCTTACAAAGGCACCAATGCTTATTAGTTCAATACAAGCTAATGTAGAATCTGAACAATGCTTAAGTTCAAGGAGCTAAGCATAAAGAAGTCTAAATAACAAAGATATATCTACATCTGAACAGTCATTAATAATTTAAAAGAAGGATGTGTAACCACACTTACAACATATTGCACATTCACAGACATGCTGAAAATATAGTAACTGGGTACAAAGAAGTACATCAATTTTCAATTAGCCATTTATATTATGGTTACTAGCTCAATTAGGTCAAATTGCACAGTATATTCCTAGGGAGACCATTTGATATGAAGATCATTAAAAATAAATAAATGATAGACTAGTCCAAGTCACTGCAAAAATTATTGTTTTCATGTTCATTAACCAGCAATATTTTATTAATTGTTGTAATATTTACTAATTGTTGGGAAAATTAAAAACCCTTCTAAATACTTTCACTATGGCATTTTTACCTCCTTATTTCTCAAGCTGTATATTAGAGGATTTGCAACAGGGGGCAGGAGTGTGTACAGGAGAGACGCAACTTTGCTGAAATCACTGAGTGCTTCCATCTTCGGTAACATATACACAATCATAATGGTTCCATAAAAGGTAGAAACCACGATAAGGTGAGAGGAACACGTAGAAAAAGCCTTTTTTCTCCCACTTCTGGAAGGAATTCTCAAGATAGTGGTTAGTATGTATATGTAGGATGTCAAAGTGAAGAGAAAAGGTGGCAGGGTGAATACAAATGCCAGGATAAAACTCATTAGTTCCACTAGGCTGGTGTCACTACAGGAAAGTTTTATAAGTGGGACAGAATCACAAAAGTAATGATTAATTTTATTGGGGCCACAGTATGTTAACTGTAGCATGAAAATCAGCAGGACTGAAGTGGCTAGAAGTCCGTTAATCCATGAAGAAGCAGCAAGTTGGATGCAAATGTGTGCGTTCATGCGTGTTGCATAGTGCAATGGCTCACATATAGCTAAATACCGATCATATGACATCACTGAGAGGAGATAACATTCAGTTGCCATTAGATAACCAAAGAAAAAAAATTGTACAAAGCAGGCACTGAATGAAATTGCCATTTCATCAGTCAACAAGCCCTCCATCATTTGGGGTAAGATATTAGAGATATAGCAAGTCTCTAGGCATGACAAGTTTGCTAGAAAGAAATACATGGGTGTATGAAGATGCCGATCAATCACAACTATAATTACAATAAGAACATTTGCAGTCATGGATATGATATAAATCACAAGGAAAACAAAGAACATTGCATTTTTCCATTGACTAAATTTTCCAAAACCTAAGAGGATAATTTCTGTGATATTCATCGGTTTTCCTCATTCACTCCATTCACAATGTGTTCAGTGGAGATCAAATACCTGCTTGAAAAAATACAGAACAAACAAGATGGTTTAAAAGATTATTGAATCGATACTAAGAAGTCCTTTTTCTAGGAATGGTCTGATACTTTTGAAAAATTTGAAGTGGGTTTGGAGAATTGGCTATCCTGTGTAGTAATACAACCAAATATTAAGTTAAATAAGGTGCTCAACTGACCAAATTACCTAGCCATTGTAGTTCATAGGTACCTTATAATAATCCCTGTATGCTGTACCTGTGAATACCTGTATATGCCAAATATTTATAAGCTAGCTTTTTAAAAACTTGTGTCTTTATAATTTCTCAAGACATATACCCACATCTTACTCTGGGAACCAGGTGGTCTTCCCTCAAAGAGATGGCTCAAAGTCCACATCCAGCTAAATTTAGCAGTTTCATAGCATGACCTGCTCCTACAAGAAGTTTCTATCTTATATTAATCCATATAATACACCAAAAATTATTTATGTACTTAACAGAAATATATCTCATTCTATATCTAATGAGGTGGTGAAGGAAAGAGAAAGAGAATTTTCAAAATTTAGAATATTTTTAAAGTCAACTCAGGCCAATTTAAATTGTTTGGTTTATGCCTATCTGAAAAGGCTACGTTAAACAAAGATGGCATCCATAGAAAAAGAAGGAGAGGTAGTGCATTGGTCTCCATTCTGAGAGGGTTTGAAAAGGATTCAGAGCATGCAGAATCACCTGGTCTGGTGTCAGTGACTGTACAGGCTGGTAAGAGGGAAGGCACAGTCACGGAGGTCCTAATACTAAGTTTAGAGCCAACAAAATCTTACATGGTGAAATAGATTGATTCAAGACAGGCAATTTCCCCTCCTCACATAAATTTACAGGGACCACAACATTCTTGAGGATTACAGAATAAGGAGTCATTTTAACAGACCAGTGTTTGAATGGAGCACACTGGATTATATTAGAAAAATTGGTGTTTATATGCATTGCTTACCCCTGTGATAATAGAGCAAGAAGATTCTGTATAATTCCGACTGACTGTGCCACACTTTCTCTTTTCTCATCTTCACTTAATCAAGATGCGTTTATTTTTCTCATGTGTGCAGACTGAGTACAGAATATTTCTAAAGTGGTATTTGGTCCAAGTTTTGTAGGACATGTATTACTCCAGAGGGAATGTCCCATTGCTCCTGTTCAGAATCAAAGGAGAACATATCCCTGGCCATTTCTCTAATTGGCCTTTCATGTCTGTATCTATATCTATAGTAAATAATTATATGCACCATATCCTGTTGTTCCACCTCATCTGAGTGCCAAACTAGATGTGAAACTTTTCACACAGTTAGAAGTTATAGAATCTCCCCTCCCTTCCCATCCTGTCCCATCTCATTTTCTTATGTTAGTGCATATTCCCTAGGTGGAGGCAATTTCCCTTGCACCTGCTACTTGCCTTTTCACACAAATGGGAGAATTCCTTTCAAATACAGATAGAAAGTACACAGGACCTTGGAACCATAAGAGCCACAGCACAGCAATACAATCTGGGTGCTGATGTCTCTCATCTACTTAACAACAACAACAACAACAACTGAGCTGATACATTTCTGAAACCATGCCTGAGAGCTCATATGATGCTCCTCAATCAAGGCACCAAACGCACAATTTGTTCTATATCCAGCTGGAAAATCAGAGGAGCAAGGAGCCAAGAAAAAGGCAGCATTGCAATGTGTCTGAAGATAAATGACTAATTCTCATTAAATAGCCTTTATAAGCATTTTGTTTAATAAACCCACATTTAGAACAGAGCCGTTGGAAGTCCCAGATTTAGGTTTAGCTAATATTCTTTCTGATATCATCAGACATTACTAAGCCTGGTCAGCAAAGGCCCAAGCTAACCTTGCTTAATTGGCTTTGACCAACCAGGGAGCACCAAGGAGTAGAACTCACAATTCAACATAAGTATTGGCTGAAGACAAGAAATACTCGTGCTCTTAAAAAAAAAAAAAAAAGAAAAGAAAAAACTGAATATGGCTAGCATTTTTCAGATGTATTTATTTCTTGAAATTCATTTATATATTTCCCAGTACTTGAGGATCTCTGCAGAAATATTTGAAGAATAAGCTGGCTCAGACCTCAATGGATACCACTAGACACAATGCCACTGTCTAATGGTGTCCTTGGATTTACATGTAACCAGCAGAATGTCCACACTGCCGCACCGGTGCACACACACTTGTACAATGAAGTTTCTCCAGCTACTTAATATGTACTTTCATTCACTTATTACAGTGCTTTTCTTGATTACTTTCCTATGGCTGCTGAGGTCGCCTAACAGTTCTAAACAAGCAAACAAACATAATGAACCTGCATAGAAATGTATGCAAAGCAAATGTATGTCTGCTTAGAACTAAACGAAAGGGACACATTTGTACTAATGTAATAAATGGAGAGGATCTCCACGTGAAGGAAATAATTGCTCTAAAATGCATTCAGAAAGCTGCATGGAAGAGCTGGAGACTTTGCAAAGTGTGGTGGCCACTGGGATCAATGCTTCAAATTGGTAAGATTACATTGTAAGGGGGAGAAATTGTCCCCTTACTGCTCCTGCACAGTGGGAGCAGTAAGGGGACACAGATAAGGATGATTTCCCAAGGTTAGGTGCTTGTGATCTTCACAGCAAGATTGTGTCATAAAAGCCTGGAGCATCTTAGGTGCAAGCAAAATGCAAAGGGGTGTGGGTATGTGTGTGTGTTAAAAATTATAACCAGAATATGAGAGAAGTTTAACATTGGTGGTGGTGAGAATAAAGAAGGGCAATGAACATTTCTGTTCTCCCTCTATCATAATCAATAGATCTTATAAACACATGAATCACTGAGGTACAGATTTGAAAAGGATAGAACATATTTCAAAGTAAATATGCATATGTTTATGTAAGACTACTGCACTTTGCTCATTAACTGGGAGTAAGTATCATTGAACTCAATGTAAAGTTCAATACACAAACTTGCACAGATTATTTTAATTAATTAATCCAAATTAAGATTGATGTCACTATTACAGTATATCATTCGTCTTCATATATTATATATTGTTCCTCTCTAACTAACTTTACACAATACATGTTGGAACTACCATTCTAGTAATTAAATGTAATTAAAAATGCATGAAAAAGTCTTCCTTCCTTCCTTTTTTTGACAAGGATCTTCATTGTTTGCATTTTTTGCCATGCCACAGAGGTAGAAGGAAGCAGTGAACAAAGACCTTACATTTCCATGAAATTTACCCAAATTAAAAAATATTGTTAAAAAAACTGCTTGAAAGGATGTGAACATTACAAATGCTTTTATCAAAAGAAGAATAGATATCTGTCAAAAATCCACAGAACTGATATGTACATTTGGAAAACTATGCATGAGTTTCAAAAACAAACCAAGCTAGCTAGCAAAGCTCATACGGACTTGTGTTTGAATGAACTGCAAGATGGAAGCAGGAGAATTTTGGTGCTCTTCAGTTTTGGGTTGATTCAACCCACAAAAAATGTACCAATTAGTACAATCAGCTCAATAAAGTCTTTTTGAAGGGATGATACGTTAAGCTCATCGGATTTGCTAGGTTAGCAACAAAATCCTGTGCATATTCTTTCTCAGTGCCTCTTTGACCTCCTGATTTCTCAGACTGTATATAAAGGGGTTCACCAGAGGAGGCAACACTGTGTATAACAGAGAGGAAAATTTTTGCATGTCTCTCTTGTCTTCAGCCTCTGGTAACATGTATACAATCATTAGAGAACCATAGAAAATGGAAACCACAACCAAGTGAGAGGAACAGGTGGAAAAGGCCTTTTTCCTTCCGGTGGTGGATGGAATTTTCATGATAGCAGCTATAATGTATGTATAGGATGTAAGAGTTATGAGAAAAGGAGGAAAAGTTAATATGAAGGCCACAGTGAACCTCAAAATTTGCAACAAGCTGACATCAATACAAGAAAGCTTTAGAACTGCGTAGTATTCACAAAAGTAATGATCAATTTCATTGGATCCACATTGCGACATCAAAGTGATCAATATCATCATAGCTGCAAATCCATTGATCCACGACACAGCTGCTAGCCTGATACAAGTCCAGGTTCTCATGATTAGTGCATAATGCAAAGGTCTGCAAATTGCAAGGTATCGGTCATATGACATTGAACATAACAAGCAGCATTCTGTAGCTTTCATGGAACCAACAAGATACAACTGTGTGAAGCAGCTGCTGAACAAAATCATTCTGTCCCCAGTCAAGAGAGCTGAAAGCATCCTTGGAAAGATATTGGAACTGTAGCACACTTCCAAGAAGGAGAGGTTTCCCAGGAAAAATTACATGGGGGTATGAAGCTGCTTATCAAAGATGATGAGCAAAACAATTAGAATGTTTCCAGTCATTGTCACGATATAAACCAATAGAAAAGTCAGGAAAAGAACCATCTGCCATTCATAGCACTCTGCAAATTCCAGAAGAAGAAATGCTATCACCTGTGTCTGGTTTCTGACCATATTGTATAAGAAAAAAAAAAACATTCCTGAAATGGTGTGAATTTTTTATTTGTTTTAGAACTTCCAGGAAATCTCAGTAGCCACAGCAGTAAGTTATCTATGAAGGAACTATAATAGGTGAACAGTGCACAGCGTTGAAGTAGCTGAAAACCTAAGGAAGTATGAAGAAAGTGCAAGGCACAGAGAACTGTCAATTCAACCCTGAAAATCAGAAGAATGACATTGCTAAGTACAAGAAATTGCTCATCTTCTGGTGCACCTTCCTTTACCTGTTCCTTTCTACCAATAACTTGGAAATTGGTTCCTTCTGGGCACTCTGCACAAATCAACCTATTTGTCTCACCTGCCTGGGTGAAGAAAAGTCTTACAGGGTCAAGGGATTCTGATTTACACTCCTGAGCTTTCACCTGACCTTCTGAGCTGATATTGTTGCAGGGATAGGCAGTACAGGAGAAAACTCAATCCAGACAAGATGGAGGTTCTGTTGGTGGGCAGTACATTTGTCCAACTGGGAAATTTTCTATTTTTAATATATTTTATTAACATTTTAAACTAACACTAAAAAGACATCAAAACATGGCAAACATTGGATTTATTGGGTCAACCTGATACTACATATTGTTTAACATTCTAAAGTCAAATTTCAAATCAATTTATAATAGCTTAAAAAATCTCTAAATTTATGCCAGGTCCCGTTTCTCCAAGCAATTATAGAAAGAGTCCCAAGTTCGATAGAAATCAGTATCCTCTTTTTCCTTCAACGATAAAGTCAATCTATCCATTTCTGCACAGTCCAAGATCTTTCTTACAATCAATCCATCGGTGGGCGGCTCCTCACTTTTCCAATATTAAGCAAATGCAATCCTCACCGCTGTGATTAGGTGCAGCATCAGATACATTTCCTGTCTGTTAGCGACTTCCAGTATGATGCCTAACAAGAAAACTTTGGGTTTAAAGACAAAGGGTTTGTGTAATATTTCCTCCATCCATCTATGTATTTTAATCCAGTACTTTTTTGCATAATCACAAGTCCACCACATATGATAAAATGTACCCACTTTATGTTTACATTTCCGACATCTATTTGACATATTTGGAAACAGCTAATCGACTTGGTAACAAATACCATCTATAGAACATTTTATATAAATTTTCTTTATATGAAGTTGCTAATGTTACTTTAATGTTTCTTTCCCATAGTTTTAGCCACTTTACTAGTTCAACATTGTGCTCTTTTGAATCTCTTGTGCTCTTGGATCTCTTTTGGATCTCTATCTTGGATCTCTTGTGCTCTTTTGGATCTCTATAGGGTTTGAAAGTTCTCCATTAATTAAGATCCTGGCCGACTGTTTTTGATAAATACTTGATATCACATTCATAAATTTTTCACCAAACTCCATTTGAATCATCTGTTGCTTCATAAATTGCCAATTAACATTATCAAAGGCTTTTTGGGCATCCATGAACAATAAAGCCATTGGTTTTTCGATATGTATCTCATAATATTTTAAAATATCCAAGATAGTTGTCAAGTTATTCTTCATTTGTCTTTTTGGCAAAAAGCCATTCTGGTCTGGATGGATAAAGTCTATTAATAACTTCTTTAGTCTTTCTGCAAGTACAGAAGCAAAAATTTTGTAATCCACATTTAATAGTGATATAGGTCGGTAATTTTGAATCTGTGCTACATCCGTATCTTCTCTCTGTATTAATGTGATATTTGCCTCAGTCCAAGTAGTTGCTATTTTTGCATTTAACAATGCTTCATTGCATATGTCTTTTAAGAGTGTAGCAAAAATTGCTTCAAACAATTAGTAAAACTCGGCTGGTAGTCCATCCAGGCCAGGGGTTTTGTCATTCTACTGTCGCTTATTTGCTTCTATTACTTCCGTAATTGTGACTTCTTGATTTAATAGTTTTTGGTATTTTTCTGGTAGTTTTGGTAATTCTTCCTTTCGAATATATTCTTTAACTTTCTCGATTGGAATCTTCTCCTTCTGATATAGCTTTGTAAAAAAGTCTTCCACTATTTTCTTTATTTGTGCACTCTGTGAATGTAATCATCCTTCTCTGTCTTTCAATTTCACAATCAACCTCTTCTCTTTTTCTGTCTTAACTTTATGTGCTAACCATCTTCCTGGTTTATTAGCATTTTCGAAGACGTTCTGTTTGGTCAATTTCATTTGTTTAGTAAGCTCATTTGTATCCAAAAGGTTTAACTTATGCCTTAAAATATCCAGCTGAGACTTAAGACTTTATTTTGATGGGTCCTCCTGTAGCACTTGTTTCAATTTCATCAATTCCTCTACTATCAGTGCTTGCTCTTGTTTTTTCTTTTTATTTATTTGAGCTGAGTATGTTATTATCACTCCTCTGACATAGGCTTTGGCTGTATCCCAGACATTCTGTAAAGAGGTTTCTTCTGGTTTATTTATTTGAAAAAATACTTGCATTTCTTTATTTATCTTTTCTGTAAATTTTTTTCTTTTAACAATGCTTTATCTAGGCTCCATCTGGGCATCCTTGCAGTTCCTTTTAGTGATAAGAATACCGGATTATGATCTGCCCAGACATTTGCCTCTATTTCAGCTTCTATCAGATCTGGTACTAAGTCTGGAGTTATCCAAACCATATCAATTCTAGACCATCCAACTGGGAAATTTTCAACCCATTCTGGATGGGGTTGTTCTCCCACTAAAGAATAAGGTTCATAGCTTGGGGGTGTTCCTGGAATCTGAGGTCTCACCTGTTTCTCAGGTGGCCTCTGTAGCATGGAGCACCTTATTTATCCTCTTCTGTTTTATTGTTTTAGTTATTATTGTCATCTATTTTATCTATTTTTTTATCTGTATTAGTTTTTATGATTGTGCTGTAAGCCACCCAGAGAGGCTTCTGGCTATGAGGTGGCATACAAATACAATGAATGAATGAACAAATAAATAAATTTCCAGGATGGGTGGTTCTCTTCATTCATTATCCCAGCTTCCCCTCATTTTCTCCTGCATTACCATCACCACCATCAAGTTCTTTCCACATGAATAGGTTTGCTAATTTCTTACTGAAAATGAAATAAAACAAATTTCTAACCCATCTACACCAGCTCAGTAAAAGAGATACACATTGTACAAATCTGTCATATGGTTGTTAAATATGAGAAGGGAATTGGTGCAGGGGGAGGTGACTGTCCCAGTTTAGCACCATGTTTTTGGCTGGATGTACAGAAAATCAGTCTTGGACTCTTAAAAACAAAGCACTCAAAGCCATGCATGGATGCATTTGACATTCTTTTCTGCACAAACACTGAAAAAGCAGCAGCAACAACACAAGTTATTTGCAGAAAATTATGGATTGTGGTAAATGAAATGAAATCTTAACTCTGATCAATCTCTGCCCACCCCTCAAAACAAACAAACAAAAAAATAAATAAAAGAGCTTGGCATTTTATTCCACATAATGGTCCTTCCTGCTAGTAACTTGAGTGGAAAATGAGAGAGAAGCGGTTTCTCTTCTGTGGTGTATGTAACATCCAAATGTAGAATCTTGCCAGCAGGCAGACTACATTAGCACACTGGGTGTTTCCTCCTCCTCCTCCATTGCTGTTGTTGTTGTTGATGATGATGATGACTTATATTCCACCCATTCCTGTTGTGAGGAATCTAGGATGGCTTACATAGTTCAGTTGTATCCTCACAGTAATGGCCTTGTTTGATAGGTTGGGCTGAGAGTCTGACTGGTCTAAAGCCACCCAGAGCTTCATGGTCAAATAGGGACAAAAACCCACATCTGTATCCCTACCCCAGCACTCTAACCAGCACAGCACACTGGGTCTCTAGGGCTAATATATCCCAGTGATTAATATCAGTTGTATTTATTTATTTATTTATTATCAGAAACTATTTTAGGCCACTTTTAAATGAAGAAGCATCTCATAACCATCCCAGAGCAAATCATCATGGTTGGTACAAGACAAAATAGAGTGCAGCATTCAGTGTTACATTATGGAAGGAAACACTGCACAACCCAACCTTCCCTCTCCTGGAAGCCTCTGATTGAGCTAATGGAAGGAAGAATCACCTGAAATCTAGGACATTCCATTGGTGGTAAAAAAAAGTTCTCTGCCTGTTTTTGGGAGAGCCAGATCACAAGGATTAGCAGATGTTCCAACCATCTGGAATGACATTTCAAGGGTATAAGAAGAGGAAAGGAAAAATCACTTCAGCAGTGCTACCTTCCACTCATGTTATGCTATACCACCCATACACACGTGTGTGTTTGTGCATGCATGTGTGCAATTAATTTGCTTTATGGTACTCTGCTTTATATGACAGAAACTTGCTAATAGTATTTATCAGGGCTTGTTTGACCTCCTTATTTCTCAGAGTGTATATAAATGGATTGGCTAGAGGGGGCAAAACTATATACAGAAGAGAGGAGAATTTTTGCATGTCTCTCTTCACTTCAGCACTTGGTAACATGTACACAATCATTAGTGACACATAAAAAATGGAAACGACAACCAGGTGTGAGGAGCAGGTGGAAAAGGCCTTTCTCCTCCCAGTGGTGGAAGAGATTTTCAGGATGGCTGCTATGATATATATATAGGACACAAGAGTTAGGAAAGAAGTTGGAAGTGTAATTATGGCAGCCACAATGAAACTCATAATTTCCAACAAGCTAGTGTCACTGCAGGCAGTTTTTAGAAGTGGGAAATAGTCACAAAAATAATGGTTGATTTCATTGGAGCCACAAAAATTTAATTTATGCAGCATCAGAGTAAGCAAGATTGAAAACACAGCCAACCCACTGATCCAAGATGCAGCTACCAGTTGGAAACAAGCCTGAAAATTCATGATTGTTAGATAGTGTAGTGGCTTACATATGGCAAGATATCTATCATAAGACATCACACAGAGTAAGCAGCATTCTGTCGCTACCAAGGAACTGCAGAAATACCATTGCATGAAGCATCTGCTGAAAGAAATGGTTCTGTTTCCTGTCAAGAGGGCTGAAAGCATCCTTGGAAAGATATTGGAACTGTAGCAAGCTTCCAAGAAAGAAAGGTTCCCCAGGAAGAAGTACATGGGGGTGTGAAGGTGCTGATCAAAAACCACCAGTGCAACAATGAGTGTGTTTCCAATTAGGGCCACAATGTAAATCACTAGAAAAGTTAGGAAGAGAAGTGTCTGTACGTCATAAAACTCTTGAAATCCCTGAAGAATGAATTCTGCAATCTTTGTCTGGTTTTCCAACATCATATGAATGAACTCCTGTTAAAAATAGAAATGCAAAAATGAAATGTGTTATCACACAGATATTGACTCTTCTATAGCTGTTTAAGATTACAGGTGGAAAAAGCAGTTGTCCAAAGAATGCAATAGAACTGGACTACCTACCCACTCCTTCGGTTTTGGTGATACAGATGTCCATAATGACTAACATGGAAGGAAAGATGGCTTTCATTTCTTCATACTGTTGAAATATTTGGATTTGATGAGATAGGGATATCCAAGGTGGATTTCACAGTGTATTTGGGTGGAGTGTTCTTGTAGTAAGTTCTGATTTATTGGTTGAATAGCCAAAATAAGCCCTTGAAAGAAACCACTGGATCCACTCATACTTGCTTTATCACTGTAGTTCAACTTACTGAATCCACGTTGTAATTTAAGTTGACTAGCCAAGCAGCAGAAGTAAGAGCAGTAAGCAGTAAGAGCATATGTCTAAGCATAGCCAAAGTTATAAAAATGATCAGTTGTTATCACTGTTAACTCATACATAATGCATTCATTCATAGCATCCACATGTTGAAAAGACCATCAAATATATAACATGTTTATGCACAAAAACCAGATTTTCTGCTTGTTTTGGAATCCATGAGATGGGCGGAGGGAGGAATTCAATATCATAAGTTATTAGGGTGAAGGATAATAAATTTTCCTGACTCCAACTGAACTTTCAGATTAAAACATGGGAGTACTCTTCATAATTTTAACCGATCACAATTTGAAATTAATGAGACCCTTCTTTTCTCTACATCATTGCAATTGGTATTAATGCAGATTTGGTAATGTTTATAGCAAGAAAAGTTTTCTGGAACTTCTTCCCACAGTTCATATTGCTAGGGTACATCCATGTGTGGAAGACTATATACTAGAAAAAACTCTGCTCTATTAATCTATATGACTTTTTTGTTTTTGTCTCTTACTCCATTTGTCATCCAAGCCACAATAACTCAAAATTCTCTGCCCCAAGAAGAAACTAATCTGCTAAAATTTTTTCTTAAGATCACTCACCAGTGCCTGCAATTACTTCAGTTGATGAGATTTCTAACTCATCTTTAAGCATATAGCTGATGTCCAAAACTGAGTACTTGACATTCCAGATCATATTTGATTCATGCTACACACAGGAAAGTAAATATTTTCTGTTTGATATGAACAAAGAACACAATCTCCCAATATCCTCACTTCTTTGATAGTTTAGCCATGGAAAGCAAGTGTGAAAATAAATGGATTGTAGCCCACAAAAGCTTCTGCAATATAATATGAGATTCTTTCAGTATTTGGTTGTTTTCCTCTGCAACAGACTAATATGGCAGAGTTCTGGATATTTATTTTATGGACAACTTGCATTTCTGTAGACTTGACTTCTCTTAAGGAGCTGTCAAGGCAGATGGTATTAAGAAAGAAGTAATAAATGCTTACCATTCAGTTGCTCATATTCAGTGTTGATTAACTTTGTGATGACTCAGGAAGCAATGCTCAAATCATGTTCTGCACCTCATTCCATGTTGTGTAATTATCTGTTCTGGCTTTGTATTTGAAGCATAATAAATCAATGGAGCTCAATGTAATTATGTAATTATTTGAACAGCCAAGTTTAAAAATGCTTTTAAATCATACGTTGTTCATAGAGCTGCTGCCCTCTTCAAGGGATAATAAGCAGAAATATGGAAATATGAATCTTCCAGATAGTCAATGTTAATAAGAAGTAGATAGAGATGTATTATATAGATAGCAGGGATAGAATATATTTCAAAAACAAATAATAATATATTGTCTATGGAATATTGGATAGGGAGTTCAATACAACAAATGAAAAGTCACATCATGCATCCTTCTAAGGCCCCAGAGCATAAAACATCCCTCAGGTGCTTTGAGAGATGCAACACACCTTCTCACTCTGGAATTCCAGGAAATTATGGCTATACGGTCTTTACAGCTAAATTCCAAAAGTATGCATGCACACATAAACAGCCAAACATAGCTGCCAGTCCTGTTGGCCTAAATAACAATAGAGCTCTTGTATTTTGGAGAAGAAACCATTACTTTGGCCTAGGAATACAACTAGAGTTGCAAGGAATTTTCTGCCAGCTGAGAATCAGTTTTGTATGGTGGTTAAAATGTTGGACTGGGGATCCAGGAGATCTGGATTCCAGTCCCCACTCCCCCATGAAGCTCACTGGGTGCCTTTGGGCCTGCCAGAGTCTCAGACCAACCTACTGCACAGGGTTGGAGGAAAAAGCAGAATATAATGCAGTGTAATAACAGTCCCAGCAACAGCAACTTCACTGAGTAAGCAGCCACATTTTTAGTAAATAGACATTAAGATGTTAAATCTTGCAGAAATGTTGAATTAGGGAGACATGGGAGACAAGTACAAAAGAATGTGTGGTATGGAGGAAGTAGGGTGATGCTTTTCTTCAGCTCTCTTACTCCATCCCTCTCTCTTTCTAAACCGAGTTCTGTGGATATAGCTTCTCAAGGTTTTCCAACATACTTGTGGCCAAAAAAATTGGGAAGATAATTTCATTGAATTTATACAAGGGGAGCAGTCATTCTCAACCATTGGCAAGGGTGATAGCACTTCTTTCTCCTCTTCTTCCTCCTCCACCTTCTCCTTTCACACATACACACTGGCTTCCTTGCACATAAACAAACACCCATGGCAAACATAGGAGTCTTCCTATTGACCTGGAATATGGGGCTCAAAGCAGATCAAAAACATCACAGATATCCATTAGCCCACCTGCCCTGAAGTTCTGATCAGAGGTGGCGTTTATACAAATGGAACATATCCTGGATTATGCATACATAGGAATGGCAAGAGGGATGCAATTAAGCTCACTGGACTCCGCATATTGGACTTCAATATTTAACAGTGCCTTCACACCTTTCCTGGGGCAAAATGGAAAGATTTCAGGCCTCATATTGGCCAAACGGGATTGTTCCTCTGCCCCAGGAGAGGATGCATTTGATGGAGTTGGCCTGTGCCACACAGCTATCTGGTGCTGATTTTGTTTGGCACTGATCATATCAGTAGATACTTCTGGGAGGTAGCACAAAACCTAGGATCCATGGAGGAAAATAGCATGACACCAACACAAGTTTGTATCTATGTTTGCTGGGAAAACCGGATCATTTGATGGTGGTGGGAGAATCGTAATTCTCACCAAGTTGGTTTGGTTGTGTAGTTTGTCACTGGCAGTTCAGATTTTCTGCATACTTGGAGGCCCTTTAAGAAGAATTAGGACCCTCAAAACTCAGTTTCATTTTGAGGAAGACCTATATTTATGGAGAGTGAGGAAGTATGCAGGCCTTCCTCAGTACCTGGAAATGCATGGCAATTCCCAACCTTGGTGCCAGGTTAGTTTGTTCTATCTGCAATAAGTGGGAATGGCAGGAAGCACACCAGCATGCTACACACCATGTACAACTGCTGAGGTAAAAACAGGGGTGTCCAATCCAAGACCATTTAAAAGAACCAACAGAAAGGTGCTCATGGTCATTGATGTTTCCTGGGAATTTATAGATTTTATTCAATGGGTTGTGATTTTGTGCATTGTCAACCATCCTTGTTCTATTATCCACTACTTGATGGATTTTTTTCATGGGGGGCAGTGCAGGTGAGGGCATACAATAAGTTAATTCTTCTTTGTAAATATGCATTGTGCAAATATTTATTGGCAGAAGCATACACTTGAGCTGATGAGCATTTGCATAAATATTCCCCCCAAAGTGAACATCTAGTCCTCAGGTCTATGTGACTTTGGGGGGAAAGGTCTGCACTTGAATTCATAGGTTGGATTAATAACATTCTGAGCTAATGTTAGCTTGTAAGTGATTTCTCCAGCAAATCCCATTCCACCTCACCCCCCTCAACACCCTGGGAGCAGACTAAGAAAAGCAGAGAGGACACTTCATCAGCCACCTCAGTCAGGACATCTTCCTCCACCGCTTTTGAGGATGAAGCAAGAATTTCACAAGTGATTCAGAGTTCAGACCCTGACATAGTACAATCCTCTCATGTGACTACATTTCACTTTCCATGTGGAGAGTATAACACTTTTGAAAGAACTCCAAATCAATGTTTTGCATGTGACCGTCATATGCTGTAATACCCTCTTTAAACATGCAAGTATCCACCTGCACCATACAAAGTTTGCTTTGCATGAAACTGAAGAAGGTTCATGCCTGTGAAAAGGGTTGATCTACAGAATGTTTCATAAAACTATGGTTGCCATCAAGGAGTAATGTGAATGGTTTATTAAAAAAACTGATCTTTCTTTTTCTTGCGTGACTATTGGTACTCTAAGAAAAGGAAAAGGAAATGTTTCAGCATAACAAGGCTAACCACTTGCAGGATTAATACACTCTATTCTTGGAGCATTCAAAAAAAATGGAGAGCACAAATATAAGAGGAAACAAACACAGAACCAGGAGTACTTATTTTTAGTCTAAGGAGCTGATGATGTGTTCAGGCTGTGTGTGTGTGTGCACACACGTGCTGCTTTATGTTTAGTGCTGTTCTAATATCACTTAAAATGAATAAATGTTAGGTGGATCATAATTTTATTAATAATTTTATTATGAAGTTTTTATGATTGAATGACACGTTGAAGAGAATTTGTTAGAGCTACTCTGCTAGTGAAACCAAGTTCTAATAACATGTTCATTTATTAAAGTAAAGTAAAGGTAAATCATGTTCATCAATTCATTAACAAAAAACAAAAACAGAATTCTGTATACCCACAAACATTTAATTTAGTTTGGTTTACATTAACTGAATTTAACTACCCTCATCTGATACACTTCGTAAGGAAAATAAATCTACCAATTTTATTTTTCACAGCCTCCTTGACCTCCTTATTTCTCAAGCTGTAGACAAATGGGTTGACCAGAGGAGGTAGAACTGTGTACAAGAGAGAGGAAAATTTTTGTACATTTCTTTTGACCTCAGTCCTTGGTATCATATACACAATCATTAGAGACCCATAAAAAACAGAAACCACAATCAAGTGAGAAGAACAAGTAGAAAAGGCCTTTTGCCTCCCAGTGGTGGAAGGAATTTTCAATATGGCAGCTATAATATACGCATAAGATGTAAGAGTTAGAAAAAAAGGAGGTGTTGTGAGTATGAAAGCCATAATGAAACCTGAAATTTCTAGCAAGGTGGTATCACTGCATGATTGCTTTATGAGTGGGAAATACTCACAAAAGTAATGATCCATTTCATTCCTTCCACAAAATGTCATTTGCAACATGAAAGCAAGTAATATATTCACAGTGACAAATCCATTGATCCAAGAAACAGCTGCCAGTTGGATACAAGTCGAGGTTTTCATGATGACCGCATAATGCAGTGGTTTACAGATTGCGAGATACCTGTCATAAGACATCACACAGAGGAGACAACATTCTGCAGCTTCCAAGGAACTAAACAAATACCACTGTGCCAAGCAGATTCTGAAAGAAATCCTTCTGTTGTTAGTCAGGAGAGCTGAAAGCATCCTTGGAAATATATCAGAGCTGTAGCAAGCTTCCAAGAAGGAGAGGTTTCCCAGGAAAAAGTACATGGGGGTATGAAGGTGCTGATCAAAGACAATTAGCACAACAATGAGAATGTTTCCAGTTATTGTCACAATGTAAGCCAGCAAAAATGTCAGGAAAAGAACCATCTGCCACTCATAGAACTCTCCAAATCCCAGGAGGATGAATTCTATTATCTGTGTTTGGTTTTCCAGCATGGTGAACATGGCAATAATCTGATCATGAAATATTAAAATGAGTTTAGTTTATACCTATATGGTAATGTTAAAACTCATCAATGTCCAAAGTAAAGTGTTTGCTATGGGGATAAAGTGACATCAATAAGGCAGCCAACCACCCAATAACTTTTCTACCTGTAGAGATGCAGACATGCTGCTTCATATTGTTTGGAAAAGGTATATTAGAAGGCCCATCCTAATGCCATTAGTGAAAATACTCCATGTACTCGCTCAATATTTCCCCTTGGTTGTGACATGCTAAGCTGTTGCAGTCCAGCTATCCCCATCAGAATTTCATATGTTTGTGTTTATGTATATTTGGGGCAGTGAGTCAAAAGATCTGGTATCTCATTGTAGTGAGATGGATGAATGGGGGAACACCAGGGGAAGGCAAAACAAGTACATGTTTAAAGAAACATCTTTTTAAAATACCAGTAAAAGAGCTAGTATGAATTTAATAAGTGGAGGGAAGGGGGAGAGGAAAGAAGAGAAGCAACATCTTTCATGCATGCAGCACTGGGATTTGGGGGTAAAGAAAAATGTAGCCCACTCAACTGATCTGTGGGATATCATGTTTCCCAGTTAAAATACTGGCAGTCACCTGCTAAATCACTGATGTTGTATCCTCACTTTTCCATGTAAAATTCATGAGAATTCCTTTTCACATCTAGACTTGGGTGTCCAAATCTACTCTAAGGTGAAAATGAGGAAGGAAATTACAAGATCTAGGAACACATTTAAAGTTTTAAAATTTGTTTCAACCCTGAACTGTTGGTGGTCAAAGCTACTTCCACCATATTTAGAAATTATGTCTTTCCTGGTACTAAGGTACTTTGAACAGGCAATCATTCCACATCCTTAGAGAACAATGCATGAATGAATCATCTTTCTCCACTAAATCCAGAATCTTCTTTTAAGAAAGTAGAATCACAAAGAAGGACAGAGATGCAATTAATCATCTGTCTAATGAAACATAACCCTACAAACAATTCCGTGCTATTTGTTTGAGGGGAAAAAAGCACAGACTTCAAAGACTTTTCTGGTTTCCTCATTTGCTTCAGTTTTATTGTGATGCTCCATAATGCAACTCACCTGTTCCTGAGGTTGGTTGGTCTGATCTTTGTGTTTGTGATGTGCAATGTTTTAAGGAGGCAGGATCTGACTGGGCATTGCATTTATGCAAAGGAAATCAGCAATATAGATGGGGGTGTGTGCATGCTTCCTCTTAATTACTAGAGATGCACATAAGTTATTAAAATACAAAATGTCTAACAGAATTTCATTATCAAGGGAGACTGAACTCTCTGCAAACAGTTGCCTATGGTGTATTTACCCTTGCAAGGATATGACTCTCCTAGGACTTTGATCTGAAAAAGAAGCTGGCACCTTGGAGTGATTTGCCATCTGGGACACCAATATCCTTTAATGGAGACTACTCTGTATCCAGCACTGGTGACTGGGAACTGGGATATGGCAGATTCAGCTGGGAGATGGTTGCTGCTGTCTTTCTGGATGGGATTAGCCATGCCACTTTCTGGATTGCAATGTGCCATAATAGGCTCCCTGGGCTGCGATCAGTGCAGTGTACATGGAGGAAAACCAAAGTGAAGACAGTTGTTCAGTCATGCAGTTCTGTGTTAATGAGAACACAATGTGTCAATGTGCTGTTACTGCACCTGTGACTATGTCAGAAAAATTGATATAATACTTCTCATGATTGCAGACCTTACTATATAGACCATGGATGCTGCTTTTCAAGATATTAGCTTGACCTGTGTCCTTGCTATTATGTAATGAGGTACGGGTTGGAACAGGCCCTGTGATACAGTGAAGTCTTGTGCTGCTCTTAGAACTGGGTGCATTGTGGATTGTGTCTTAGTGGAGCTTTGTCTACAATCAAGATTCATCTCTAGGGGAGGTGGGACAGCTGCATAACTCTGTAGCTTCAAGCTATGCACTGGTTAGGAAACTTTGCCACCTAATGACCAAAGAACCTCATGCAAATGTCAAATATGGGTATGTTTAAATTAATACAAACCAGTTAATACATCAAAACCAGTTAATATGTTAAAAATAGCTCTCAGGTGCACAACCTTTGGGTCCTCTCATTATGGATAGCATGTTTCAGGTGTCTTTGGAAGGCACATGATGGCAGAAATTCTAAGTGAGACAGTTTAAACAAGTGTGGTAGTGAAAGTTTAAGTATGAATAGAAAAATCCAGGCAATATGAGATCATTTGGGGATGAATGTACCCAATACACACACACACACACACACACACACACACACACATGAACAAGCATAAGAAATGAAATAACTTCAGTATTCAGCACATCAGCAGAGCCAATGCTTTATATGACAAATCACATCTATGAAAAATGAAAACATACCAATTTTATCACATGTAAACATACCAATTTTATCACATGTAGCTATCTTTACCTTATTTTATTGCATATTAATTACTAACTGAAATTAGCTAGCTTTGTATGGCAGAAGCCTACCAATATTATTTCTCAGGGCCTGCTTGACCTCCTTATTCCTCAGGCTGTATATAAAGGGGTTGGCTAGAGGGGACAAAGCTGTGTATAAAAGAGAGGAAATTTTTTGCAGCTCTTTCTTAATTTCAGCCTTTGGTAACATATACACTATCATTAAAGACCCATAGAAAAGGGAAACCACAACCAAGTGAGAGGAGCAGGTGGAAAAGGCCTTTTTTCTCCCAGTGGTGGATGGGATTTTCATGATAGCAGCAATGATGTACACATAAGATGCAAGAGTTAGGAGAAAAGGAGGGAATGTGAATATGGCAGCCACCACGGTACTCATAATTTCTACCAAAATAGTGTCACTGCAAGAGAGTTTAAGAAGTGGAAAGTAATCACAAAAGTAATGATCCATTTCACTGGAGCCACAAAATGTTAACTGTAACATCAGGCTAAGTAATATCAAGAGGACTGTAAACCCATTGATCCAAGAAACAGCTGCCAACTGGACACACGTCCAGGCTTTCATGGTTGTTTTATAGTGGAGTGGCTTACAAATGGCAAGATACCTGTCATATGACATCACACAGAGCAAACAACATTCTGTAGCTTCCAGGGAGCCAAAGAGATACCACTGAGTGAAGCAACCGCTGAATGAAATTGTTCTGTCCCCAGTCAGGAGAGCTGAAAGCATCCTAGGGAATATATTGGAGCTGCAGCAAGCTTCCAAGAAGGAGAGGTTGCCCAGGAAGAAGTACATGGGAGTATGGAGATGCTTATCAAAGACGACTAACATAACAATGAGGATGTTTCCACTTATGGTCACAATGTAAATTGCTAGAAATGTGAAAAACAGAAGTGTCTGCATTTTGTAGACTCCTCCAAATCCCAGAAGGATGAACATTGTAGACATTGTTTTGTTTTGAAACATCATGGAAATACAAACAGCTAAATCCTGTTGCTGGGGGCAGGGGGAGAGAAAGAAATACAAACATATCATGTGATTAAAAAAATTGTAATGGATAACGCATCAGTCCCTTTCCATATTCTGCTGATACAAGTTTAGGATCTTACAGTTGGCTTGAATAAGGAAATGAGATAGCAATAATAAGTCCCTTCCCAAGGATTGCTTATTTCCTCTATTTGTGGAATATTTTGGATTGGCATATAGTCAAAATGCTTCTCAGTTCAGGAGTTGCACCTTGCAGACCAAGCAAAAGCTTGGACTCAATTGAAAATTGAAATCCGTACAATCCTGAGCATTCAGAATGATTCATGGAAGCATCAAGGAATTTTTAAAGAAAATTCATTTATAAACATTTGAACAAGGAATATTATATTATCTGATAAATATCCAAGGTTTGTATAAGGAAAAGAATGCATTTGGAAAATGTTCACAAATTAGTAAGTACTTTTAATCAATGCATACTTCTGAAAATGAACACAATAAGTACCTTTGTGGGAAAAATGCATCAAAATACACATTTTCATGGGAAAAGAAGAAAAACTTGAAATGTGATTTGAAGATGGGCTGGCACACACTTTGAGATTGAATTTAGAGAAATCTTGCAAGATCATTTAGTGTTTCATGCATTCCAGTTTTGGGTGGTCAGCTACAGGAGAGAGCCAGAAGGTCTGAACAAGGATTTAAATGCATTCAATGGAGTGCAATGCAATATATACAAACTGAATATACTGTAGCATATACAATTACAATCCCGGGAAGATGGATAGAGGAAGAACAGTATTGCCATGGTATTCTGAAAGGGCCACCCCTAAAGGAGGTAAAAGGGATGGCAATTAGAAGAAGGCCTTCTCAGTGTCTGCTCCCACTCCCCATCTTTGGATGGGCTTCCTAAAGAGGTCCACCTGGCTCCCTCACTACTTTTCTTTCAGCACCAGGTGAAAACTATCCTTTTCTGAAGATTTTTCAAAAGTCACTATGCTATCATATTCCACCCCCCCCCCCCTTTCCCCTATACTTATAATTCCACTTTTGGCCTGTTTTTAACATTACCACTTCAACATCCCTTAGGCGGCTATTCAGTGGCCTATAAATGTGAAAATAAATAAATAAATAAATAAATAAATAAATAAATAAATGGTAATAACCTCATAGCCACCATGTGGATTTGCAAGTTAAATATTCTAAATGTTCATCCAGCAAATCTTTGGATAGATTTCTTCTCTGCTAAACTAATACTAGTGCGCACCTGACCATAATTTGGAATATTCCTTTTTTGTGTTTCTTTAAAGTCCATGCCTTATGATACAAATATTACAAGTCCCAACTCTTTCCAGGTATGTCCCCCAACAATACCATTACTGCTGATCCATAACATCAAGCCTTATTCACTTTCTTACTTTTAAATGTGACATATGTCTTTATCTTTCAGTCCTTGTTAATTCCACATTAGACAAGCAGGTAAGTCTTTCCACAAAATAATGGCTAGGCACCTATTGATAGCCAAAAACACTTTTTTCCTCTGGTGAAATAACAAATCAGCCTGTTCTTGAACAGAGTTATTGTGTGTTTTCCAAGTTCTAGCTACTGTAGAAACTCCTATGCATGTTGGCTTCCTTTCCTCATATGTCTTCATTCAGCATGCAGATTTCAGCAGGCGGGGCTCATGTTATCTCAGAGGTCCATTGTGGTCACACTACTCCCTGTTCCTACTGCTTCTCACAAATTGAGTGTGTAGACATTTGAGAAGGACAAGCAAAAATGGTGGAGTGGTTGGGGAAGCCAGTCAGATGACATGCTGCCTCCAAACTTACTTATCTTAGGTAGTTATAGCAACTTCTTATGTCTACAGTAAGGGAAGGTGAAATATAGCTGGAAGGAACTAAATTAAAAATAAGCATCCCTCATAAATTCAGTCAATTCAGTTTAGAAACTACTGAAGTTCTTTTATCTAATTACATTTTATGGGATATTAACTGGGACTGTACGCTAACACTTATAAAACCTTCTCCTAACCTTCATTCCCAGCTCATTAATAGAAACATTGCATTCTTCACTTTTTCAACTACAGTCTTCTTCAGTCAAGCAGCCCTCAAATTTTGTTGAATTTGTTCATTATGTTTCTTTTGGAAGGGAAGGTTTTTCAACTTTTCTCCAAGGTGTATAGGAATTGGGGTGGGGTGGATAAAGATAATAGCTTTATTATACATGTTATACATTCTGATAGATTAGGCTGAGATACTGGTGTCCCATCAGCCCTACTGAGCTTCATAGTGGAGCCTGTGTGTCCCAATATAATTCCAACACACTTTAACCACTTGGTGGCCCCCCTTCATATTCTGACCAAGCACACAGTTCTTCTGGCTCCTCTCTTAACTGCAAGTATCCTAACTGAAATGATGTCATCATTTTGTTCTTGTTTCTTTCTGAATTTATCTGCACTGAAGTTAACAAAATTGACCAATGTACAATACTGCATTAATACTCTGATTAATACTACAGCTCAGAATGGTTAATAATTATTTTGTTGTTTCATTTGTTTAAAAGTTTTGTGGCATCACTGCCAATGCATTATTTACTAAGTAAGCCATTTTGAAAGGTCCATGTATCAGTGAATAAATAAATGAGAAGGACTGAAGGATTTTACTACTCCAATTTTGTACAGTTTCTCTTTTTCCTCACCTCCAAGTCCATTCCATACCTGTACAATGTTCAGGCTTGTTTTTCCTAAGATCATACTATAAATGTTTTATTGGATTGAGTTGTATTTTTTAAACCAACTTTATTAAATACCATTCAAATGTTGTATTCTATTCGACACATTTTTTCTGTTCCACAAAATGCACTGCAAATCCTGAAATGTTTCACTTTCTGAGCACAAGCTCAGTCAACACAGATCTATCTCCCTAAAGATCCAATTGAGCAAATGTCTCAGACATACGTAAGTAAGCTAGATTCAATTGTTAACTTGCACAGGAATGCCAATATCTTCTGTTTTTGTAAATATGACCAATATCACAAATGAATGTCAAAACAAATTTTACCTCAGAGAATAATTTGCTAAAGCCTTTGAAAAGGATGGTCCCACAATGAAAGAAGAGAAGGAAATTATGAAATAGATATGAAAATAAAAGATGGAAGTTAATAAATTATTGAACATTTACCATTCTGATAATGTAATTAAATGTAGGCAGCCCATAAATTCTCTGCTTTTGTGGTTCAGAAGGAATGGTCTTTATTCCTCTTCAAGTAATTTTGATGCCTCTTTCTTTTATCTATGCAAGTATAAGATGTCCACATACTTCTCTTTCTGCATAGCACACTTCCTGCCCTCGGTTTATTTTAACAATATGTTTTCTGGTACATTTAAGGTAAAGAAACCACATTGACTTCTCACTCCTTCTAATAATCCGAATGCCACATTTAGCACCACGTTCTTGAAGTTATGGTCAATTAATTAAAATGCTATCCTCAAGGGGATATGGGCTGTGATTATAGAAGGGAGTTCTTTCAGATTGTTGGTTTTATTAAGAAACAGGGGGAGCTGATTGTTCAGCCATTTGGGAAATAATATTTTCCTAGTATCTTTCCAGTCCTCATGTAGCACTGTACAGCATGAGGAATTTTTAGAGCCATTAATCTATCCATGTTCAACTAAAAAAAGTGATGCTGACTAGGGCATATAGGCATTTGTAGGACTTTTCTGTTAAAAGAAAAGTCATGGAGTTGTGCCCTGAAATATTGCTTTTGGAGTCTGGCCAGCTAAATAAACATCAGATTGTTGCTAGTAGGGAATGAAGTTTTGGAAAGCTAATTGAGCAGAATCATAGCACTAGCTATCCCTTAGACATCACACATCATAATCTGGACATCAATGTACATGTGAAGAAGACAACAGAAATGAGATGAGTTTCCCAGTGGCTGATTTTACTCATGTATGTGGAGCTTAGGAAAAGATGCTCAGTATAGGATATCCCCCCCTTCTTCCCTCTCTCTTTCTCTCTCTCTTGGGCTCACACACACACACCCATGGATAGATGAGAATTTTTCAGTGCTTCTGTTTTTTAACAGGAACTTAGCAAATTTTTCATATTTGTTTATATATTGCTCAATTTATATATTGCTCAATAGCCTAAGTTCTCTGTCTGGTTTATACACAAAAATGCAGTATAAAATACAAGCCACATTGTTAATCATCATACAGAATTTAAAACCAAATTTAAAGCACATGTTAAAATTATGATAGCTTAAAAGTAAATTTTAAGATCTGTTTAAGCAGCTAACAAAGCCTCAGTACATTATTACCTTTCTGTACTAGCCGGTGGCCGAAGCTCTCTTGTAGTATAGTATACCTACTTCTAAGCAAGTTTAGACAGAGAAAAAGGCCTACAACTCCCAGCATACACCAATAAGCCATAATGGGGCATGCTAGGAGTTGTTGACCTTTTTCTCTGTCTCAACTTGCATAGGTTTGGATTACACCTTAAGTCTAGATCCAATCCAACATATTTACATTAAAAATACAAAAAGCTAAACATATTTAATTCCAAACCAAAATATCATAAAACCAAATTATTAAGTCAAAATTTGCACTGTAGAAAAACAAAACACTGGGTCCAAATCTAGTTTTATTTCAAGTGCACTCATTAAAATCAATGGAACTAAAGTTAGTTATGACTTCTCCCTTTGGTTTCAATGGATTTATTCTTTTTTGGTTGCATGCAGAATAAGTTAGTTGCATGCAACCAATTTCACATTGGTTTCAATGGGCAAAATGCAATGGGGTGCTTACACCCCTGCCAATTCCTTTCCACCCTGCAAATTTATTTGCATAAGTGGAAGGCATTGTTTATGCAAGAGAGATTTCTGATTATAGTACTTCATAGATTTGAACACTTCATAGATTTCAAAGCACATAGAAAGAATGTGCTGAGGCAGTTTGTGCATTTCATCCTTCCTCACTAAGAGCAAAAATTACTGCCATATCACATAAAAATGTGTGAAAAGAAATAAAATTTCAAATTCTGATATGAACTGGCTGACCCATGCCTCCTGGACAAATGTGCAGATCAAAATGTAGCTAATCCCTGCACTTCATGCCTCCCCAAATCTTGTAGCACAATTCTCAGGAGGTGGATGCATCAGAACATATTTGAAAACTCTATTTTAAAATATGATACATCTATAGCACAGCATGTACATTTCTACTCAACTCATTGAGTCGAATCGGGCTTACTTCTGGGAAAGCAGGCATAAAATAGCAGTTTTAGGCAGATGTATGTAAATATGAGTTGGAACCAGATAGCTAGCAATCCTTGGAAGCAAGGGCCATAGTCTCCTGTTCAAGAGTCACTTAAGACTTCTTGTAATTTCAGTGGCTTTACTCTATGCTTCAGTAAGCCTTGATCCAACAATATTTAGTAAAATATAGGGCTTTGTGCAGATAGAAACTTGCACAGAGTCTTCTTGGGATAACACAAATGAAACTTACACATATCAGAAAGAAATGGATCCAGACTTTGTTAGTAAAATGTTGTGGATTCTATGGCATGAATTCCATGTATTTTGGTGAATGCTGCTATTAAGTAACAGCATAGAAAACTGGGCTGGATCACGGGTATTCCTTCTTTGGATGGAAGGGCTCCACTCACATCAGTTGTCCCTACCTGATTTGGGGGAATATTACACACTGGCCCTCATTGCAGTCGTTGTGGATATTCAGGCCATGGCAGGCCACCACTGGGGCGAATCATAATGTCTGAAGGCAATTTTTGCCACTAAGTTTTATCTCAGTTCCCTGACCCCCTTGTAAGGAATACAACGTGGCTTATATGGTCACCCTTCTCTTCATTTTACCTTCGGAAGAACTCTGTGGGTGGTAGTGAAAAGTCCAAAGTGAATGTCATGGCCAATTGAGATCAAACTCAGATCACTGTAGTCTAACAATTGCACTACAGTAGATTCTGCTGAGCTCATACAGCTTGGTGATTTTGCTTATGACACTTTCCAGTTTCCACCTCAAGGTTTCTCCAGAGAAATCCTACTACGATTTACTTCTACTAATATCTGGGGACATGTTGCTTAATTGCTGCAGGATAAATAACAAAATGGGTGTAGCATCATCCATGAGATATTAAATTCTTTATGCAGAAACCTCATGGAGTCAAAGGAGTGAGGCATCTAATGGACTGCAATAATCAGAGTCAGCAACTGCCCAGGATCTGCTTCTCATCTCATAAAGATACAAAACACCATCGGATGGATTCAAACAGGAGGTTCTGCTTCCCGATAGATGAATCTGTCATTTTTATTCATTCATTTTCTTATTGTCTTGGTCTCCAGTTCATTTCATGCTGTTTCTGCATCCATCTATGACTTCTTCTCAAATAAATAAATACTTAAATGCATGCATATTTTTACATGCTAATTTATCTTAATATACACCTTTTGATAGACAACTTTGTGTAATATACTTATTTAATACAGTTAATTCCTCTTATATTTACTGTATTTCTTTTTCAGAAATGCATGTATTTTGGTGGATACTTTTGCCCATCAAACATATTTTAATACAATATTTTGGTTTGATTCGATTTGATTTGGTTCAGTTCGGTTCAGTTTGGTTCGGTTCAGTTTGTGAACTTCATCACTAAATTCTGAGCAGTATGAATGTACATCTGGTGAGTAATTCTTTTCTCCCATCTATACTCCTCCTACAGAAAATGCTGAAAATGGACTCCTGCTCAAGGCCTGTTATTTTGAGGGGACTCCCAAATTGAAGTTCTTGACACAGACTGTAAGCATCATCTTACTTGTTTCATTGCTCAGTTAAAATATATGCTCTTCCATGACATAGATCTATGGGCTTCCTAGCCTGTTCTCATAGAAATAAATAGTTACATTACAGGACCAATCCATGCCATACATATTTATTTGTATCTAACATACATGAATTTGTGCAGATTATCTATCTCTGTTTCTTCCCACTCTTTGAATATCCTAAACATCTGTGTCTGGTAGCTTAATTTCTCACTACAAATGCAAACATTATATAGAGTTGTACCGCCCACAGGCAGAATTAAACTTATTAGTGCAGAATGATTCTATCAAGTATTTAAATTGGTATAGCAATAACAGCCTCACCTAGCATCTGCATGCACATGATTGCCAAACAAGAGAACTAGCATTGCTACAAGTTTGTTTTGCCGACAGGCAATGGTTCTTTTTTGGATAGTTTGAATAAATTAGGGCATTTTAGGTGGTTTAGGATATTAGGATATTTTTATGATGTTTAAGGTAAGTTTGCTAGGGTTTAGACAGTATTAGAGCTGAAATGATCAGTGCATCTCAACTATATGGTTGAGACCATGAGCAAGCAACAATAGCATTGACTTCTCCGCCTCACCCCCACATGGTTTGGCCCAGAGTGAAACGAAGCTCAGCATAGGGAAAGGAGGTAGCAGCTTTAGAGGGCCCATGTCAGTGGGATGCTGCTGGTATCTGGAGCCCAGTCATGCTGGCCACTGAAGTTAGCAGGGAATGACAGTAAAAAGTAAAAGAAATGGGAAGCTTGTCACCATTCAACCTTCTTATAGAGAAAAGCATCTCCTACTGAAGACAGCAAGTGAGTGGGGGATGTTAATTTATTAATTTATTATTTATTTATTTATTTAGGAGACTTCTATGCAGCTCCATTCACTGAAGCCTCGGGGCAGCTCACAAACAATAAATTCAGAACAATGATGAAGTGAAAGAAAGAACCAGTGTGATGCCTAGTTGCTCACTGGCTCTGCCTGTTAAGCAAACGTGTAGTAGCAATGATGTAACTTAGATTCACTGATAATTTTGACTCTGATGTCATTCAAATCATGGCTAGTGTTGTCAACTTTTTAACCATTCATTGTGGTGATGCCTTTATACCAGCTTCATGCGATGGCATTAGATGGCTAATGTTTTTCTTAGTGGCAATGATGCTGATTTCTAGTAGTCAAGAGTGCCCCCATTTCAACAATCATCAATAAAAATAGACTTGTAATGGATATGCTATGCCAATGTAATGAGATAGCCCAGATACGAAATATGGAACAAATCAATTAGATTCCTAAAGCATTTGTTTTACCTTACTCTTATTTACAGTGTTATTGGTTGTTTTGCTCTACTGTAGCTCAACAATCACCTTTGTTAATGAAGACATGAGAAAGAAATGAATGAAACCCAATGAATGGAAGGAAGAGAAAATCAGACGTATGTGACTCACTTCATCATCCTAGGATTCCAAAATCTAAAGAATCTGCAGATCCTTGTTTTTCTTGCATTCCTTGTTAGTTATATTGCAACAATGGTAGGAAATCTTCTTATTGTTGTGACTGTGGTGGTTGATCACCATCTTCACACTCCTATGTACTTTTTCCTTGGTAATCTGTCTTGCTTAGAAATCTGCTACAGCTCAACCCTCATGCCTATTTTATTGACCACTCTATTGATGGATGGAAAGACCTTATCATTCAGCAGCTGCTTCTTACAATTATTTCTTTTTGGCTATTGTTTAGGGGCAGAATGCTATCTGCTGTCTGTGATGTCCTATGACAGGTATTTAGCCATATGCAGGCCACTGCATTATGCAACAACTATGAGCACCAGGAAATGTGTCCAGTTAGCATCATTGTCCTGGACAAACGGCTTCATAGGTATTTCTATAATAATGGTCGCAATGCTACAGTTAACATACTGTGGTCCTAATGAAATTGATCATTACTTCTGTGATTCGGTTCCACTTAAAAAGCTTGCCTGCAGTGACACAGATGTGGTTGAGCATGTTAATTTAGCACTGTTATTTGTTTACACCATGCCTCCATTTCTGCTGACCCTCACATCCTATATATATATTATAAGGGCCATCCTAAGAATCCCATCCACTGCTGGGAGACAAAAGGCTTTTTCTACGTGCTCTTCTCATCTCATTGTTGTTTCTACTTATTATGGGTCTTTGATAAGTGTCTACCTCTTACCACAGTCCTCTTCAATGAACAAAGTTTTTTCTCTTCTGTACACAGTCCTTCCCCCTCTGGTCAATCCACTCATATATAGCCTGAGAAACAAAGAGGTAAAGAGGGCCTTCAGAAAGTTGACAAAAAGGATAGTAACTTTAACAATATTTCAAATTATGCTACTTAACCTTGTTAGTGTTAAAAATAAGTAGAAGGGAGGAAAGAATGTTATGAGGGAAGTAACCTGATGCATTTTCTTTGTTTGGACAAAGGTTGGACAAACACTGAATAAAGGGCTTATTTTTTAACTTTTAAACATTGTGTATAAAAGTGCCTCATCTGATCCACACTTAAATGAGTCACTTTAAAGTATATTTAATAAGGCCTGCATGTGATTTCTCTGGAAAAGCTACTAGTGCTATTGTTTTCCTTCATGAAAGTCAAATGTGTTTTCTAACAAAAGTATTTAATACAGAGAAGGAAAAGAGAAGGGGGCGATGGGAACAAATTAGATAACTAAAATGCATCTCTAAATAAACAAATAAGGACACGGAAGCCAATAAATCAGTAGTGAGCAATTCAGATTTCTCATCTCTGGCCTGCCTGCAGTTGCAATTTACTCTTGTTCACAAGTTGATTCTTTCACTGAATGTCCCTGGTTAATTTCCTCCCTCAAATATTCCACTTTTTCTCAGAAAAGCAAATTAAAGCAAAAATTGCATGTGGTATTGTGGTTACATGTTATGCTTGTAAACTGCCCAGATAGCCTTGTATAAAGTAGTATAAAATGTAATTAATAAATAAATAGCATAAATGAGCATATGTTCAGTAATCTGAGAACATTTCCAGTGATTATGTTCTCACATTCATATTCAGAGTTTTGATAGGGATGTAGAGACTTCCTTAAATTCATTCTGTCCATATTTCATGGCTTCCAAGAAATCTTTCATTCTGTCTTCTGCTCATTGTGGTTTTGTGCCAATATGCTTATTCAGTGCAAATTCACATTTTCACAAAGTAATGTTGTGATCAATGTACAAATAGCTCCAAAATTTTTACATTTTAGTCTATGTGGGAGGAGGAATGAAAACTTTCAGTTGGTATGTTTTCCACACACACACACCCTACATTTTGGCAAAATCGCAGACAATTGAAAATTATTATTACACATGTCTACAGAAAAGCCATCCCACTGTGGATGGAATCAGCAGGTAGAGTCATAAAAATCCAAACTCATTTAAATCCATTTTAGGTTTCTTCAACCTGTGTGGCTGCCCAAAGAGTATGATGCCAATGGGTGGCTTTAAAAAAAAATCATTAAAATAAATGATAACTAAACCTTCCTAGGCTGTGAATGGGGCAGGTTGACATGTTTTATGAAGTTAAATCCCCACTACTGTTGTTCATCAGCTTCCAAGCCTCAAAGTGGACCCCACTAGTGTGGTTTGGTGGAGCAAGGGCCTCTTCCTCAGAATCACTTCAAACCAGGTGAGGCTACTGTAAGGGGTCAGTAGAGCTTGCCATATCTTGGGGGAGGGGCATCTGGAGGGGAGAAACAAGACTGCCAGCAGGGACTCACTTGGTTCCTGACCGAAGAAATTGAGGAGGAGACACGTGGGGAAGCAGCAGGGCAGCAGGAACACAGAGAGAACCATGAGTAATGGCCAAGTAATGGGCAGGTTTAGGGATGCTGTGAGAGAGAAGCCTCTACTGACTTGGGGAAGAGGTTGTAGGAGGGTACTCAATGACAGGGGCTGGGCAGTGAGAACAGCAGCATTGCAAACCACCCTTGCTCAAGGGAGTCACATCCTAGCTGATGGCACTCTGAGAAGAGAGAACAAGGAGCTTAATGGAGCTTGGGGTCATGAGGACAATGGTATTAACTGCCCTGACTGGCGATCAGGGACACAGTACCCATGAGAATGGAGAGTCCAAGAGCTGGCCCTCTGATGTAAGAAGGGAGTGAAAAGGAGGTCACAATATACCTCAAGGCATAGAACAAAGCTTTTATTTGTGGCCCAGAAGATGAAGACAATGGAGCGGGGGAGTTGACCTTCCCCTTCCCCTAGTCACGTGACAGTGATATGCATGGTGTTCCATCATTTCGTTCTTATATTGATCAAGGATCACCTTCAAGCCATCCTGGTCTTAATCTGTCACTGTTAATACTGCACCGGCTTGAAACATTGCAGTCTCCATAAAGTCCTCTGGCCTGTGCCTATGGTGTCTATGAAATCCTACCTGTACTCTGGACTCTTAGGAAATAATTGTGTTATTTTTGAATGTGCTTTGTAATAGCTCTGTGTGTGTGTGTGTGTGTGTGTGTGTTTGGGGGGTGGGCAGTCAACCCAGGAAAAACTGCTGAGTCTTTTGTCTTCATCAGAGGTTATGAGGATCACTGCATTGATCTCAGTGCCCTTAGCAGCTCTTAAAGAAATACTATAAAAGGTTCAGCTCAAAATTGGAAGAGAGAAACTGGGTAGGGGGTTGAGGAAGGGAGATTTTCAGGGTGTTAAATGTAGCCCAGTCCCAGATTTGTCTTCATTTATTCCCATCAGGAAAAGCATTAATCAACCCTCATGTTTCAAATATAACAATTCCCTTAGCAGGTATAAATTTTCCTTGGAATAGTGTTAGGTTTGTTTTTTTAATGGTTCAAGTGCCAAACCAGAGTGCATCTCTTGGGTCCATTTGTTTCTTTGGAGATTACAGAAGAAATAAGAAAGTAGTTGAGTGTTGCTTTTCTAGAAATGCAATTGATGTGGAAGAATAACAGGAAGACAAGGTTGTAAGATTCTCAACGAAAACAGAAATATTAAAAAATCAACTGAGAAGATGCAGAACAGAATATGAATTCTTTCTTCTAAGTTCACCCTGAACTTGAAAATAAGGAGGTAATATCATGATTCTGGCTACATTTGAATATTATTTCAATTAGTTGCTGCTTAATCTTGATAAGACTTTCCAAAGGTGACAAATGAGCCCCATTAAATAAATGAACATTTTATTGTACAACAGTCTTCTATTAAATATATTTCAAGCGAGTTATGTCATGTAGGATTTTGGATCCAAATTTAGTAGACCAATTGTAAACAATCAATCCTGAGGTAGTTTTGACTAAATTCTCATAACTTTCAATGGGTCTACACAATGTAACACTAAATATGTATCCAGTGTTGTGGTTTCTCCTCTCCATTAGCAATGCAATATACAGGCATATTTCTATAGATGTAAGTCTTATTGAGTTCAATAGGAATGACTTTCAAGTAAGAATGTATTGGTCTACATCCCTGGATTGCAGTGAATAGTGGTCCTAGAACCCCTTAGGTTCCTAGGTGAAAGCTGATACACACTGACAAGAAAATATGTCTAATTTAACACAATGGGGCTTACTTCTGACATGCACTTCTGGTGTCTTAAGCTCCCTCTTCTCTTCAATGGAACTTTTTTCTCAAAATAACAGCAACTTTTTAATCACTTCCCCATGACACAGCTGTAAGCAAGTAGGACCAAGCCCTAATGAAGGGAGGAGAGTTAAAAATAATGGGAGGAAAAGTTGAAGCAGGAGGAAAGAAAAAAATGCATAACATGCACATGTGTGTCTAAAATACTGAGACACTCCATAAACTTCATTTTAAAGCCTTTAATAGATGTAATCTACATGAATTTGTCTAATCCCCTTTAAACACAATATAAACTGGTGATCATCTCACAGCCTTGTGGTAGACCACTCCATCTGCCAATTGTGTGATATATGCCATCAAATCATCTCCAACTTATGGCAACCCTAAGAATGAAAGCCCTGCAAAATGCCTTGCCCATGACAGCTCCCTTCAGCTCTTCCAAGTTCAAGGCTGTGGCTTCTTTATGTATTCAGTCCATCTCATATTTGGCCTTCCTTTTCTTCTTCTGCCTTTGGCTTCCTAACATTGTCTTCTCTGATGAGTCTTGCCTTCTCATGAAGAGAAACACACAAACAAACCATTCTATAATATCTGTCCTGAATCTATCAATTTTGGTGTGTGACATTGGTTTATTTATTATACTTCCATATCACTCATGAGCCAAACCTTTTTAATGTTCTAATGTTCTGAGACAGAAGTAATTATGTTGGGAGAAGATGCTTTTTTAATCATTTGGCTATCTCACACATGTTTTCTTGCATGATGTCCAGGCATGTGAACTCCTAAGACCTAAACTTAGTCCCACCAGTACAACCATGAATGAAGCTATTAAGGTCTGAAAGCCTGAACTGGGCCCTGGAGTGCTACAGAAGATATTATACTGAGCTGAACTGAGATGTATTATTATTGTTATTATGAATGCATTTCAAATCAATGTTGATCTTCATTCAGAAAAGTAGTAAACATCATCATCATTAATGGAAGAAAGAGACAGGAATAATCAAACCATGTTTACCTATTTCATCCTCCTGGGATTTGGAGATCTTCACCACCTGCAGATTCCTCTCTTCATGCTGTTTCTAGCAGTTTATGTTGTGACTGTGATGGGGAATCTTCTTCTCATTGTTCTGGTGGTGACTGACCAGCACCTTCATACTCCCATGTACTTTTTCCTTGGGAATTTGTCGTGTTTGGAGATGTGCTACAGCTCTACCATTGTGCCTAGGATAATGACCACTTTAATGACAGATGATAAAAGAGTTTCCTTCTGCAGTTGTTTGATGCAATATTTCTTCTTTACTCTTTTCTTAGGGGCAGAAAGCCACTTGCTCACTGCCATGTCTTATGACAGGTATTTAGCAATATGCAAGCCACTGCACTATACAACCCTCATGAGCATATCCATGCGTACTAAACTAGCAACTATTGCATGGATCAATGGTTTAATAGCCAGCTTCATACTGGACTCTCTGATACTTCAGTTAACCTTCTGCGGGCCCAATGAAATTGATCATTACTTTTGCGATAATGGTCCTGTGATCAAACTTTCCTGTAATGACACCAGCCTAGTGGAACTTGCCACATTAATTGTAGCATTTATTTTCACCTTGCCCCCATTTCTCCTATCATTAGCATCGTATGTATACATTATAATCACCATCCTCAGAATCCCTTCCAGCACTGGAAGAAAAAAGGCCTTTTCCACATGTTCTTCTCACCTGATTGTGGTTTCTTCATATTATGTGTCCTTAATTATTGTTTATGTGTTGCCACAAACTGAATGCATGAGGCGGTTAAACAAATTCTTGTCTCTCTTGTACACAGTCCTCCCACCTCTGGTTAATCCTCTGGTCTATAGCCTGAGAAATAAAGAAGTAAAGGAGGCTGTAAAGCTAGTTTTCAGAAAGGCTGGGACCTTTTGGGCCAAATCAGATTAGTACAACTTAAGATTTAAGTGTCAGAGAAAACTGGAATAGAATATTTAAAATTAACAAATAAGAATATCCAGTACTAGACTTCTGCAAAGAATTGCTTAATTTAGGGTTGGAAAGCCACTTGGTTCTTGTGGGAGGCATTTCTGGTAACTACTGCATTATGCACTCCTTATCAGCATTAAAATATGTACTGAACTAGCAGTCACTGCATGGTTCAATGGTTTAATAGCTACTTCCATAAAGGACCTTCTGATAGTTCAATTAATATGATGTGGACTCTGATATTACTGCTAATCTTCTGATGGGCAAACAGGAGGGAGGGAGGGAGGAATAAAGAAAAAAGAGAAGGCTTCTTCATATCATTCAGCTCTGTAAATGTGATGTATGGGTTTATTTATATGATGGTGAGACATTGTTATATTGTGAAGTCTGAATTTTATTTTACTGCCCTCACTTTTAAATGTATTTGTTGCTGTTTTCTTTCCTTCTCCACTGAAATTCTCTTTCAATGTGTGTTTTTATACTGGTCTTATTGATTGGTTAAATGTATATATTGGTTATTTTGATTCCATGCAGAGACTTTCAATTCTACATTGCTCTATGATTTGTATTGTTATAAAATAATTCCAGAACAACATGGCTCAATTACAAACACGCATGTGTACATATGTATTTCACTAATGGGAACCCCTTCCCCTTCCCCTTCCCCTCCCACTCCTGTTCTGACAAACACTGCTACTGTCGATGTCTGTGAATGTTTCATGAAACTGTGATTTATCTTCCATCTCTATGAACAGCAGAACAAGAACAGGAAAGACGAATGAAAGAGAGAGAAATGGAAAATAAATCCCATGTCATTCAATTTATTCTACTGAGATTCCAAGATCTCAAGAATGTATGGATCCTTCTCTTTCTGACATTCCTTCCTATCTACATAGTAACGATGAGTGGGAATCTTATAATTGTGCTCGTGGTAACTGATCAGCAACTTCATACTCCCATGTACCCCTCCCCCCTTCATTCCCCCTTCCTTGGCAAGCTTTCTTGTTTAGAAACCTGCTATGGCTCACCTCTCATTCCTGTAATGTTGGCCACAGTTTTGACAGCTAGGAAACCATTATAGGTTGTGTTATCTGAACTGGACAAGCAGAACAACCCAGGGTGGCACCAAGGTGTTGCTACTCTTCCTGAGTAGCTGGCCAGAAAGCACCACTGCCAGCTGCCATTTTGTGTGTTTGTCAGAGACACACCCACTCTGCCTGTCTCTTTCTGGAAAGAACTTTGAAGTAGGAGTGGCCAAACAGCTGAGCAGCACCACTCAACTGATTCCCCCACTGTTCCCCCAAGTACCCTTGAGAAAAACCTCTTTCATGCTCACATGTACAAATGGGAGGGGGGAAATCTGCCAGGTGGTGGTGTCCAGTTTTGGGCAGCACTGCTTAGTTGATTCTCCCACTTCCCCCATGGTTGCTCCCACTTTCACAAGAGGTGTCCTCAGCCTGGTATCCGTCTGAGTGCCTTTCTTGCAAGCATCAGTGATGAAGGGAAGATGGTGCTCACTCTCCTTTCTTGCCTCCGCTTGAAGGTGCCGGGGGGGGGGGGGACATCTTTCTGCCTAGCAGAAATGAGAATAATGCTGGTCACCATAGCTCAGCTGATTCTTGCACTTCCCACTTGTACATGAGGGCTTTGCTTCTTTGCTGGGAGGGAATAGAAGGCTATCCTACAACTTTTGGTGAATGTAAGAAATGGAGGTACTCTCTCAATAATGACTAACTTTCTACTCTATTGTGACTAGGTGGCAAGAAAGTGAAGTAACCTCAGAGAAACAAGTAACATATGGGGAAACTTGCACTACATAGGCCTTCACAGTATTAGACTCTTTCCATCACTTACAATAAATCAATATATAAAATAAAGGAGGATGGGGAGTGCAGAGGTGGAGACTGGCTCAGAGCTGACCTGACAGCTGAGTCCATCCTTGTCTTATAATCATTTGCAGCAATATAATTTGCCTATCTGTTCATTTGCATCCTGATCTGCACCCATGTATTAACAAATATAAATAGGTGCATTGAAAAGCATCAAAAATTATGATTAGTGTTATCATTATCATTTTGGTGTGTTGATCGAATTGTATAAATATACTAATGATGGGAGTAGATCCAGAATGAGTTATTCTTATTATGGCAGTAGATCCAGAATTAGCAACTTGGCTGGTGGAAGCAAATATCCCCCTTTGCAACAGCCCCTCCAACTTTCTGAAATGCTACACAGTGTTGGGGAATATGCTGAATGCAGCGACAAGTGATGTAAGAACAGAAAGAACGCCCAATCAGATGCAGGGACCTTCTGTGCATAGAGTCCTTTTGTAGTGCAGTGGAATATTGATAAAACAGCACTGCAGTGCAGTTCAACCTTAATAACATAAAACATAGAGAGAAATGTTTGCCACTACATCTGCTTGCTGCTGCATCAATGTGCAAATGTGCCCATGTACTGTAGTAAACATTGTAGCAGCAGCAGCAATACAGAGAATGACAACTCCCCAGTGCATGCATTAATTTTGTGAATGACTTAATTCACAATTCCTTAATCTGGGGATAAACTGAACTGGCAAGAACTTTGGGTGCATTTATAAAAAATGTTCAATAACTCAGTCTTGTTCATGGATAGCTTTAGTAATTCCCTCATCCCTCACCCCATCTTCATTTAGAATTACTTATCAGGCAGCACCACACTTTCAATCCCAGACACAAAAATTGTCCTTCCAAACCCTTCCCATGAGCCTTTCTTAAGACTTCATCGACAATTATGTTTCTCCCATTATAAACTGTTGCCAGCAATAGAGTGCAACAGAACAGAACAGAGCTGAACACCTGCATGGAGATAATATATTTATTCAGATCTCTCTATTTCAGTTTGGATAACAGGAATACAACAAGTATGGCCCCATAAAAAATACAGATAATTAGGAGTGAACAGCAGGTGAAAATGTCCTGTTGTCTCCAAGTTATGGAAGAGCCAGAAGAAAAACTGAGAAAACAAAACCAAAAGTCAAGGGTACAGGAACAAGTACTGAGAGAATGACTACAGGAGCGTTCTACTCATGGGAGCAGCTATCCATCCAAAATGATCAGTCTCTTAGGAATCATAATGGTGTAACTACAACAGCATTGTTGAATACAAAGAAAAAAAGACAGTGTTATTGATCCAATGGCCTCCCACTAACTAGATACAACTGATAAACACTGAATGCTGTAGAAGCTAGCATATTGCTAGGAAGTTGTAATAAAACATCACAGAGGAGTGATAATACTCTGTACTAAGAAGAAAGAGGAGGGAAATGCAATTGTGTAATACATCCTTTAAGAGAGATGTTTTCTGTCCTGTCAGGATACTAACCAACAACCTTGGCGGGGTGGAGGGGGGTTGAGCTTTCTATGATCTCCAAATGGTCCAGGGAGAACTGCATAGGTGTATGCAGTAATGAGCAGTTACTTTCAGAAAATATATGGTGAGGATATTGTTGGCCATAGCTGAAATACAGGACACTCAGAAGCTGCTGAATCTTCCCAGATGCCAGAAGAAGAACCTCTGTTATCTCTGCCTGATTTCACCATATTATACCTTTATTATGATCTACGTATTCCATCTGTCATTATGCCATAGAAATGTCAGTGTATGTTTGCTCAGAATGCGAACTAGTTGCACTAAAACAAAGCAATACTCCCACCTACTTTACCAAAGAGTTAACAGAATAAATAGAATATATGAAAAGAGACAAAAAGTGTGTGTGTGTGTGTGACAGAGAGAGAGAGCGAGAGTGAGATGGAAACTGAGTGACTATGTCAGTGTTGTAGAGTGTTTATTTAGAGTGTTGCTGAAATATGCCATATGCATTTACATCGTTCTCCACATACTTGAGATGAGAATGAGATGTCTCTCAAAGTTATTTTGGGTGCTATTCCCACATATAAGCTGAATGCACTTCTGAAATTAAACATTAACTTCAGCAGCATAGCATGATTAATGAAAATATTGCAAAAATAAATGTTAACACATACTTGTATTCAATGCAATCTTATTATTTTAGCATATAATGATGATGATATTGTTCTTGTTATTGGTATGATTATATAAATAGGACTGTGAATATAAGCATTCCGGACCTGTCACTATTTTGATGATATATTAGATCTAGAATTTGTTTATTGCATGTTGGAAATGTTAAATAATATAGAGAAGGAATGCCCAATACAAACAGTGGGAAATTAAATAATGCTTTAATTAAAAAAAAACACCTAAATTAAACTAAACTACATGCAATTTGGCTGTTCTCCCTGTTTCCAGTGATTAAGCTAGATTGTATGGCCATGACCTGTGAACCAGGGCAGCTTCCCTAATGTCTTATTTTTGTAGCCTTAAAATTGATGGATCTCAAACTCAGAGAATTTTGCAAATGCTGAGTTCAGTTCATCTCAAACTTTAAAGTTTTAAGAAGCAATATTTGAATAAGAATGTTAAATAAATAAATTTCTAAAATATATGTGCTTATTTTTCCTAATGTATGCATTCTTGTAAACAGTTTTGCGTAATAAACACATTTTCAAGTGTTTGCAAATATTGTTCACATTTTTCTGTGTATATTTTGATCTGAGCACTCCAGTGCATAATAACTGCAAATTTAGAAGAATACCTGAGCTATCCAGTTCAACTGTTGGATCAAAACTTCAAAATTAAGTACACACAATTTTTAGAGAACAAATTTCTCCCACCTCTATAGTATTTTGTGAGGTTCAGGTTGCACTCCAATAAGCAAGTGGCAAAAATACGTCTGCTTGCTTGACCACTTTGGCATGTTAGTGTTATTTTATGACATTGATATACATTTCCATTAACTCACACCATTTGTTTCATTCTATTAAGATAAAATGATTAGTATGATCCTGCCAGTATTAAACAATTGTAATTCATCTTCATTTCAAAGAAGTTGATTCTGG